GCATATTTACGAATTCGTAGAATAACCCTGTACCCCAGAAAAAATGCATCTTTTATGATTAATTTTTTTTAATTCACAAAAATGTCACAAAATAATTAAAATTTCAATTTCGGAATTATTTTAATATTATTAAATAAATAAATCTAAAGCTATCGTCCATTTAAAAAGTTTTTTTTTTAAATATTAAGACAAAGTAAACTTGTTTTCTCAATATTTTGTTATCTATTTAATTACGATTTAAATGTAAAATTATTTTTAATTATTTTCAAATTATTATTTATTGTTAAAATATTTAAAAAAGAGTAAAAAGCATTTGAATTTATTGCAAAATTCTCAAAATTAAAAAATATTAATAAAAATAAGGCGGTCGATAAAATTACAATTTTAACTTCTTGAAATTTTAATACATAAAGTTTTTTTATTATACCTATTTATTACTAATTTTATACAAAAAATTGTTTGCTACATAATCAAAATTAATTTTAATTAAAAAAAAATTTGAAAAAACATTTTTTTTAATTTCAAAATATGAAAATTATACCGAACCATTTCCTGTTCAGTTTCGATGTGATTTTTTTCTTCGCATGTCCTATTTCCTCGAGTTAAAATGAATTGCATTAATTTAAGTTGGTACCCCCAAATGACGCTTTTTTCGAAATTTTTCAAACCTTTAAAAACAGTTTTTTCCAAAACAACATTTTTTTTTTCATTAAAGTAATATGGATTTAAAAATACACAACTAAGAGCCTTTCAATTTGGCAAGAATAGTAGCTATTAGTAGCTAATAGCAACTTAGAGTTACTCTGACCTGATATTAGTTGCTAATAGGTACTATTCTTGCCAAAACGAAAGTGCGGTTCATTCCCTTATAGTGAGGTTCATTCCCTTATAGTATTGGAACGCTTCAAAAGGGGTGCTAAATAACGCGAATTGGCGGAAAGTAAATTTACGATCTATAAAACCTTCTGTCCATGATCACATCGTTGTTTCTGTATAATTTCTGCAACCCGTAACAAGACAAGTAGGTAATAGTGGCTGCATATCTATTTAGATAATCAACCACGCCATGAAAATATAGAACATAATTTATAATTAAACTATTTTATTAATTAATCTGATGTAAATACCCATCTACTTCTGTACAGTTCGTTGAAATCTAGTTATAGCTCTCAACTTAGCAGCAGTATTATCTGAGGAAGTTAATGCTCCCCAATCTTATTCTAATGTTTAATTATAATATTTAATGATGATGCATGTTGTAACAATTTCATGATTTAAATAATGACGTATTCCTGACAAAGGAAACCACTACGCAACGTCAGTGTTGCCCATGTGTTATCTCATCTCCGAACGTCAGTTTTATTCTTGTTGTTCTTATTGTGATTGTGAATCTTTGGCAAATGTAAGTGCCACTATTTTTCGTATATAAATACGATATAATATATTTGTCAATTTATAAGATTTAGTATAATATGTAGTAGGTAACAAAAAGTATATTTCAAAGTATAGGCAGCAAGAAAAGTCATAACTTAAAAAAAAATTAAATCGACAATTTTTTAACGCAATTCAGTATTTCTTTAAAATATATTACTGATATATCTTACTTTATTTTAAATATATGCATACCTCGATTTCTGATACCTATGGAACAGCATTGTTACTCCGTTTGAAAAGATTTTTTAGAATAGAAAATTATATTTGTTTGGATTAACTTTAAAATAAAATAAAATTACAGAGAAGCTAATAGTAGTTGTATATACTTTTTAAATCTTACTAAAATGTTTTATTCTCTACGTATTTCTGTGCGTATACCGATTTTCTTCCAATAATTAACTTTTAGTATGTAGATTTCGTTTTTGTTTTTTCACAAATGATCTACCTACCTGACATAAATGGTGCCAAAATGTTTGTGACACTTTTGTATCTTGCATATGAGTTTATTGAACCCTAAGCAGTTCTAAGCATTACAAAAATGAAAAAAAAAAACAAAGTGAGGACACTGACGGACACAGGGTGGTCATTATCTAAATTCCTATTGTGGGGAAAGCAGTCTCCTGATACGCCACTGTTTTCACGTAAATAACAAAGTAATATTTCCGCGTAAACTAAAATAAATGAAAGCTTAGTATCTATTATCTTAATATACAGCATGATGATAAAGTTTCGAACAAAATTCACAACTTTTATACTGAGTGATTTTTTAAAAAACGCAGACATGTCGATTTTGTTCTCGGAAGGTGCATCTTTTAAGACGATTCAGTGGTATACAGGGTGACCCAGCTTCCAAAAGCTCGAAGGCCAATAAATTTATTTTTTCTTATGAAACACCCTGCATATTTTTACATATTCGGATAAAGTTTTCTCTTACGAATACAGTTATGTAAGGTTTGATCACAAAACTACAACCGGCGGTCTGGGTCATCCTCATTTATAATTCGTGTATCAGATGGACTTTATATCCATATCCGTGTGTGTAGCATGTGTTTGATTAAACAGCTCACATGCTTCCGCATGGGTTCGTAGCTTATCACCATATCCAACCACCAATAAGATCTCTATCCTTTCGCGTTCGGTTAAATCTGCCATTCCTTCTAAACTCCAAAAAATTCAGTGATAAATTTGCGAAGTTTATTAAAGTTATAATAACGTAGTAATTTGTGAAAATGTCACGCTACAACAGTGGTGTTTTTGTTTCTAACCAACGACCAAAAACCGAAATAATTTTTATCAGTGACCTGAGTGCCAACACAAAAAAAAACCTAATTTGTATTGTTAAACTTGCAAACTTTTTTCGTTTTTATTTTGTTCTAAACTCTATCATCACGCTGTATTAATAGGCTTAATATCTTGATGTAATGTACCAAATTTTAATAAATTATGTATTCCGCTTCCTGTCTTATAAGCAATCAATTTATTATTTCTTAATGAATCAAGGATCTAAGACCACTAGTTTTTGTGATACCTACAGTGTTGGAATTTAAAAAATAAACGATCACTTTTAGATCGTGACTATCTGTAACATTGCCTACGACTCAAAGCATCATCTCCGTAAGCTTGTTTAAAAAGTTAAAACGATTTCCTTGGACGTTTTCCGCAGTTCCACGCAAAATTTTATCTTGTATCGCTCCAGAAAATTGCACATTTCAAAAATGGTAATAACAGTATCGCGAAAACTAAATCGGATATAAACAATCCAAAGAACATATGGTTACAGACCGCATATCACTAAAGATCTCCATTAAAAAAATTCGGTTATTTTCTGAACAGATCTCGTATTTCAATTTACTTTCATATAGGGAGAACATAAGCCTAAAACATAGAGGTCACTAAGAACACTTGTAACAGTCTTTTGCTCTTTGCTATATTTTTTGTGTTGGTACAGATTTTGAAACGTCTGTTTTTACTCGACTTAGTACTCCTGACACACTGAAAAGAAAAAAATCATAAAAAGCCCTTCACGTCAAAAGAATCAGGCAAAGGGTCGATTTTATAAATTAAGTTCCGTTTAACCAGAAATATTTTTTCTTTATCGTATTATTTTTCCCAAAATTTTTCGCCAACATAATGTTTATTACTTACAGAAGGGAAAGTGTAAATGCAGTCTTTACAATTTTCTATCTCATTTTGCAGTCGCGCTTTTGATAAAAACCGTCCTTGCGTTTTGTTGATTTGAAAGACTGTTCTAATATTAAACCAGTTATCAATTATATTTAATTTATCAGTTATACCTTGAATATATTGTACTTTTACTGGGTGTATACAATTTTGTTGTTTGTTGTTAAATTTATTTTTAATGTTTTCAATAGTTTTAACAACAAATATTTCTGGATATTGATTGTGTAATAATATATTTTTAAGAATAGTATTTCATTTTCGAGGATTTGTTGCTCATATAAACATTTTACCACACAATATTTTATATTTGCAAAATTATTTGATTTGAAATTTAAATACCGTTTAGTATTATTTATTATGTCCTATTTCAAGATTTGTCTATTTTTCAGTGTGATATTTTCCCCTTTTTTTGGTTGTAACACATGACATAACAAAGTCTATCTCTTTTGCAGAAACTAAGATGGAAGACACATACGAAAAGAATAAAGGCAATGCCGGACTGAAAGGGGTTCAGTTTCAATTGGACCTGATGACTGTGTGTCTATTAAATGCTCTCAACCACCACAAAAACTGGAAAATATCTAGTGAGAACCAAAACGCCGGGAAATATGACGACATCGTGGTAGAATTACCCGGAGGTATTGCCGTTCTGGTTCAAGCCAAACATAAAGAGAGCAGGAAGATCACCAAAGAGCAGTTGCTATCGGACAACTCCAAAAATGCCGACTTCAGTTTGCCGAAATATTTCTTCTCCTACGAAGAGATCAAGAGTAAATTTAGAGCTCAGACTGTTATCATTTGCACCAACACTGACATCAATACGAAGGGCCTAGAGAATTATTTAACCTTCCAGCGTGCCAATCCTGAAAATGTGTTATACTACGAACACGACTGTTGTTCCTTTTATAAATTCAATGAAAACATTTTGCCGGATTTAAAAAGGAACGCAGAAGTTTACTTTAGCAAGAATTTACGGGACAAAAGTATCGACAAAGCAGTGATTACAGATAAAAACTTGAAAGATTTCCTAAAAAAATTGCAGATTTTTTCCTCTTATCCATGTGAAGATCATTTGCACAAAATTATCGAAGGATTAATATCACGTTCGAACCCTTCCAGTTTGTGTTGCAAAATATCCGCTCAAGAAATATTGAGGAAGATGGAACACTGGTTTAAACAACCAAAGGGTGAATATTTGACAGAGAGACAAGTCAAAGCGATGCTCTGCGAAATAAAAAGCGACAAGTACTGCGAATCGTTGAAAAACTACAACTTGTCGTTTGAACAGACCGACTTTAGCTTTACTGATTCGAATAGAATATTCCACATTAAAGTTGAGGAGGGTTCTTTGTTGCAGCTTTTGAAAATACATCATGCTCTACGAGACGATAAATGTAGAAAATTGTTTGTGAATCCTAACGAAGGTCTAAAAGCGCAAAAACAAGTAATAGAAGCGTTTGAGCTGCAACGCTATGCCCTTTTGGTGATGACTTGGACCGAAATTACAGAAGAGGCTGCAACAAATGAAATAACTGCCAAGTTAAGAGGAATATTGGACAAGTATAAATATAAAAAAGTTGTTTTGGTGGAAGCAGGTAACAGTAAATTGGCACAGCGGATTGGATTGGATATTTCTAAAGTTGATGGGTCTGTAACGTTCGATAACTTCTCGAAGGATTGTCAGGAGAGGCTGATGAACAGCAAAAACGTAATTTTCCAAGGCAACACAGTCAGCTTAAAAGAACTCTTACACACGGATACGTCTATAGATTATACAAAATCCTTAAATTCACTAATGCTAGAGAAACTAATCAGAGGGGAAAAAGTTACAGTGGGGGTACAGTCTTTAGGTTTGGATAAAGACATTGCTCGATCTTATGTATGTCGCAGCTTTGAGAAACACGTCGATAAAGGACAGAAGAGAGGAGAACCTTTGTCAGAGGAAAGCATTTTTAACGTGAAAGGGAAAGCCATAATAATCTCCGACAGTGCCGGTATGGGTAAGAGCACAGTCCTCACCAAGATGTCGGCGACTATAAAAGAAAGAAATAGTCATTTGTGGGTTATAAAAATTAATCTCAATGATTATACGAGTATTTTAAGAAATACACTGAAAAAGCAAACAAAAGTAATAAGTGTGGTCGAGCTGCTGAATTCCCGAGAAGCTACTAAGCTCACAAACCAGCTTGAAGAGATCGTTTTTTTCATGAACGAAAAGGTAGTTTTAATGTTGGACGGCGTGGACGAGATTAGCCCAGACTATACGGATCTCATACTCAATTTGCTCGACCAATGCCAGCAGGGTCCCAACTTTGTAAAAATTTTTGTTACAACCAGACCTCACGTAGCTCTGAAGTTGGGAGCAGTTCTAGGAGTTGGAACGTTTAAACTGCTGCCCTTTACGAGATCGGACCAGGTAAATTTCCTTACGAACTACTGGATACATAACTTGAATCTAAACTATGGAAATAAAACGAAATGTGAACGATATGCCAAGATACTAATTGACAACCTATCGTCTTGGACAAGATCAAACTACTCTTCAGAAAATCCCTTTGAGGAAATCCCACTGCAAGTAAGGATGGTGGCTGAGATATTTCAGGAAAGTCTCAAGTGGAAGGAATCGGCAGATTGGGAAGGATGTAAGGAGTATCTGAGTGGGGATAAAGCCGAACCGAAACTGCCTAAAAAATTTAATATCGCGATACTGTACGACGTTTTCATTGAAATGAAGCGAGATGTCTTCATAGACAAGGGAAACACAAGCGGAAACACGGTGGCGAATCAAGCTTTCTCTAACCATTTCAAAGGATGCCTTGCTTACCACAATAGTCTAGCTTTAAAAGTAATCCTTAATGAAACAGAAAGTCGTTTATTCTCAAATTACGACGCAAGGGATGAAGACATGGAAGAGTACGTGTTAAAGATTGGAATTGTGCACAGACTCGGTGACGAATTCCAGTTCTTACACAGGTCTTTTGCGGAATACTTCGTGGCCGATAGCATAGTTCAAGAACTAAAACTTCAGAATCCAAATGTTGAGTTTCAGAGATTCCTGATCGACGCAGTATTTCCAAATGACAGATTTCAAGTGGTCCGTGCTTTCTTAGACATTTTACTGCAGAAAGTTTCCTTGCCTCCTAATATCTTCAAAAACTATCGGTCCTTCTCCTGTAAGGCTAACTCGAATCTCATTTTCCAACTCGCAGGTGGTGGTCACGTAGCAATCCTCCAATTACTTCTAAGAAGCGTAATATTCAAAATCATTACAGATAAAGAGATTAAAGTTGCGGATTGGCTGCCTAAACTGGCATTCCAAAAAAGAAACACATTGAATGATTTGAAGATTATTGTGCGAAAAGGCGGGGTTAACATTAAGAATGATTCTGGTTACAGTCCACTACATCTCGCAGTTAAGGGAGGCCACTGGGAGATGGTCAACTTCCTGGTTGAGCAAGGTGCAAACGTTAACAGCAAGAACGATGACGGCTGCTCGGCATTGCATTTAGCCGTAGAGCATGTGAGATCCAACATTAGGAAATACTATGTAGATCAATTCCAATATCCATACCTTAAAGTTGAAAACAAGTACGATACGGCTGTATGTTTTGCTAACAAATATAAGGAACTGGACATTGTCAAATATCTCGTGGCACAAGGTGCAGATCTCAATATAGGAAACAATGATGGCAACACAGCACTGCACTTAGCTGCTAAATTTAAGATAACAGACATAGTCGGATGCCTCGTGGAACAAGATGCAGACCTTAACGTTAAGGCCAATGACGGCAAGACGGCGCTGCACTCTACAGTCAAATATGGGAGTCTAGGCAGTATCAAATACCTGGTGAGACATGGTGCAGATCTCAACGTTAAAGACAATGACGGCAACACACCGTTGCACTTAGCTGCTAGACGTGAAAATTCCAGCACTCTCCAATACCTCATGGAACAGGGTGCAGACATTTACGTTAAAGACGTTGACGGCAACACAGCATTGCATCTAGCTGTCAAATATGAGAGATTGGGCGCTGTCAAATACCTCGTAGAGCACGGTGCAGATATAAACGCTAGAACCACTAGCGGCAGCACTGCACTGTCTTTAACTGTTAAGCATGGTTACTCGGATATTGCCAAATACCTCGTGGATCAAGGTGCCTATCAATGACGGGTATTTAGCACAGTGTACACTATATAGAAGTTATACCGAGTTTGTTTAAAAGTTTCGATTCCTCAGCCTTGACTATGAATCTTCGACCTACCCTTGTTGTTCTCGGGCCAAGTTATGTGGGGGCGGAACCGCTATTAGAATCCCTAGACTCATTCATTTAAGTTCTATTGTAAAAAAATATTGCAAAACTTAAAGCTACCAACTTTTAACTGAAAGATGTCCGAATTCAACGAGTTACGAACTAAAGGAAAGCCGAACAATACTAGTAATTACCAAAAAGCCAATACAGAGAAGTGGAAATGGAAGCCCAGAAGTGGAAATGGTGTCGAACTAAACCGGACCACGCAGCAGAGCCACATACGGAGCTGCTATGACTTGTGCACGAACGTCAACCTGTTCCAGTGGGAAAGCGATCCAAATTACTCAAGCAAACTTGTCCGCGTAATTTATTGCTCACATTTATTGTTATTATAAAGTAGAAAACAATAAATCCAATATTTTAAAAATATGATTATGTTGTCTCTAAAAAATAGCCAGTGCTCCCATACACAGCAGCTCTAAAGCTGCCCTCCCAGGAGGCGCAGTGAATAAAGCTCCTCAAACTCACAGAAACTCTACGTAGGCCTCAATTACATAAAATTTAATGCCTAGTCACCACATAAAGACAGTGAGCAGACTCACAGTGCTCACAATAAAACATATTGCGAATTAATCTAGAATCAGTTGAAACATTCAAAACAATTGAACTAAAAGCAAGATAAAATGACAGTTCTTTTAACAATTTTTTCAGTGTGTGTTTTTTTGGTGATTATGGTGCTTGACGCTCTTGATAAGACTCTATTAATACGTGCTTTTTATAGAACCTGCAAAGAAGATGGAAGACACATACCTTAAAAACCTTCGAAAAATATACCCTTGTCTTTGGTTTAAATTTTCGCAGGTCTGTATATTTTAAAAACATCTGTTGAAGAAAGTTGTAAAACTAAATAAGGACCTCATTGTTTGTGACTACAATAGTCGTAGAATCCATTGGTAAATAATTTTAATATACAAATTCTTAGAACTCACTTTATCTGATATGATAATTTTTAAATTAAATGCTTTGAAAACCTTTTTTGCACAAACGGAACGAAAATAATAAAAATTGCAAAATGCATTCTACACATACTTTAGTCAAACATTTTGAAAATATTATCAAAATCCGTAACATATGTGTATTTACATTCAATCGATTTCAAGTAGTTAACTGTTTTTCTCAAGTATCTAAACAAAGATAAAGATATAATATAATACATTTACATCAGGACTGAGAAATATTTTTGATATTTATCTTAATAGGTCTATTAAGAACTTAAGTATTAGAACGTATCTAAAAATATACAAATCATTGTATTCTTTTATTCGTATTCAATTTTAAACAAAGTTTTACCCTTAAATTCGACATTTGGAAACTCCAAAATGTCAAAATTTTTTGAAAACATTTATTCTTATTTTCAATATTTATAACTATAAATAATATAGAAATTCGATAGTTGTAGCTACAAAAGTAAATACAACTTGCATAAACTTTAGAATTTAGAAGTGTTTTATATAATAAACACGGGTTGCAAACCGAATTGTCGTTTTGTGGTTTTTATATTCTAAACTGCAATGTTTAGAAATATATACTCACGCAAACATTATAAAAATGATTAGTAATTCAAATAACTAATATTGGGTTAGAGGATAGAAATCGAATTATAATACCGATGACGTATACCCGCCTCAGAAATGCTGCAATGCCATTGTACAACTCAAGCGATCTTAAGAGGTTTCGTCTCATTGTTAACATTAATCAGAACTGAGCCGCGGGACATAGGCGTACGCATAATTGATTAAAAAGCAACAAATTAAATTGCCTACAATAACACCATCGTAACACCAATGGATAAAAATTTATTACGCAACATCCGCATAATAATAAAGCAACAGTATACTAACGTGTCATGAACGTGAAAAGCATTCTGAGGCAATGGCTAACGTATGTCCCGGTGGACCCGCTTGGCACGTCATTGAATTGCGTCTCTCTCTCTAACAGCCCTAGACATTACCCACAGTTTAAGGCAAGTTATAGCTTATAAAATCAATGCCTGTATTATAACATGGTATCTAAACTTGATGTTTGTGACAGATATTATGCTATTCGTATAAGATTATTAATTAATAATTTCGGGCAATAAAATGCAAAAAGTAGTGTATATACCTTTAATGCTTCATAATTATAACAATTGGTCGCAATTTAACTAGCAGACTATACAAACTAAAGCTTAAAAATGTCACCTGACAATTATAGCTTGGCGGAAAATTGAAAAACTTAATGTGAGGCTGCCAGAGATATGAATTTTGCTGAAACGATATAGGAAAATGCGCACGTTATTTATTTTCAATAACAGCTAAGGCGAGGCTCTGTAAATAAACTTTTCCGATATCTTCACTATCTGAACAGTGCTGGAACATCCCAAAAAAAGTATATTCGACCTATGTCCTCTTATTTATTGCGTGTAACTGGGTAAGATACATGCTACTACTCAGACAAAACATTGGACATTACAGACTTTTAAAATATTCAAATTGAAATAATTGAAATTCCTTCGTGATGCTTCAAAGTTATCAAGATAAAGAACCAAAATATTTTCTGTTTTTATTGGTGGAGGAAGGTACTTAAGATAAAAATTATTTTCAGTTAATATATACATATACTAGAAAAAAAAAACACAGAGAATCTATCTTAGACAAGCAGCTAACTGAAGATGAAGACTATTGCTTGTCTTGCTGCTCTAGCCTTTGTGTTAGTTTTCTCTGTAGTGTAACAACATTTTATTACCAAAATACTAAGTAATTGTTAGTGAGATTTATCTTACCTTAATATAAGTGCCTTTCCTCCCTTTAAATAGTTTACAGGTTTTTTTAAACGGACTTTTTAAACAGATGAATCAAAAACTGCATTCTATAAATAAGCACCCTGAAATTCATGAAATATTATTTTTTCAGTATCAGGTAATTTTTTTTATTTATGAGAACTACCTTAGGAAGAAACTATTTATACTGCACTCTTTAGGAGTATGAAGACGAAGAGAATAATTATACATTTTTTCAGGACAACGTAGAGAAGCATGCTATCGATCGAAGATCCAGAAGATCCAAGGGCTCCTGAAGACCCTGAAGATCCCAAAGCACCTGAAGATGCAGAAGACCCCAGGGCTCCTAGAGATCCAAGACCCTAGAGCACCAGAAGATCCAAAAGACCCCAGATCTCTTAGAGACCCAGAAGACCCCCAGAGCTCCTGCGAATCCAAAAGACCCCAGAGCTCCTGAGGCTCAGAAGACCCAAAAGATCTTAGAACTCTAGAAAATCCAGAAAATCTAAGGCCTCCTGAAGTTCCTGAAGACCCTAGGGCGCCAGAAGATCCTGAAGACCCAAGAGCTCCTGAAGATCCAGAAGACCCCAGGGCCCCAGGAGATCCTGAAGAACCACGGTTAGCAGCTGACGCACCAGAAGATCGTAGAGCTACAGAAGACCCCATGGCTCCTGAAGATCTAGAAGATTCTAGAACTCCTGAAGATCCTGAAGACCCCAGAGCCCCCGAAGATCCTGAAGACCCCAGAGCACTAGAAGACCCCAGAACTCCTAAAGATCCAGACTATCCTGAAGACCTCCGGGCTCCTGAAGATCCAGAAGATCCTAAAATTCTAGAAGATCCTGAAGACCCCAGAACTCCTGAGGGCCCAGAAGACCCCAGAGCTCCTGAAGATCCAGAAAATCTTAGGGCTCTTGAAGATTCAGAAGATCCTAGAGCTCCAGAAAATCCAGAGGACCCAGAACGTACTGAACCATACTAAAATATAAAAACAATCACAATCAAGAAGTTCCTGATGATAATGGGCCTTTAATTTTAATTTATTTAATGTTTATTTCATACCTAATATATCGAAATGTTTTAGTTTCAACAAATAAAGTTAACATTTTATATATTGTGTTTCAAAGAACATTTACTCACCTAAATAGTTCAGTCCCATTTTCGAAATATATTTTGACGTCAAGTGTGATATTCCTCAAAGTAGGTATTTTTCTGACTGTATTGTGTAAGACACTTATTCAGAAAATAGAGATCAGACTTTCCTGGATAAAACAAGATTTTTTTTTATTTTTTAATTAAAAACGAGGTGACGATGCGACAGTATTTTATTCATTACTCATGCGGGATCTCCAGAAGCGAATGGAACACACTTTCTTGAGAAAAAATAAACAATTTAGATCAAGTACAATTTTGGCGTCCTTATTTTTTTTTTCGTGTTTCAAATTCAACACTTACTGGATAAGGCCCTGGTAAATTTAAATTGGCGGTACTACAAAAACCTACAACTCAATAGACACTGAATTTATTTTTAATTAGTAAATTGGTTTAAATTGCAAAAAAAATTGCAAATTTAGCNCATCGCTGGGAGAAGTGTGTAGAGTTACAAGGAGACTACGTTGAAAAATAAAAAATAAAATTCTGAAAAAATGTCTTGTATCTTTGTTAAGTCGGAAACTTTTCAGACCACCCTCGTATATTTAATATTTGGAATTTCGAACTACGCATTTATTTTTGTGCATAGAAGAAATGTTATCTCGAGTACCAAATAAAATTAAAAAGCAAGCACGGGAGACATGTTTATCTTCATAATTTTTTCAAACAATCAAAAATACATTCCTTTATACTATATTTAATCGCGAATTAGAAAAATAAGGACTATAAAAAGTAAATTTCCAACAGTGATAACCGTACTAAGTAAACAATTCTACGACGCAGTTCATAAAATATGTTATTTTAACAACCACTTAAGTACTTTGTATATTCATCTTATTTCGAGGTACCTACGCATTAATAATGAGAAAAAACGCCCTATCGCATTATGATCATCTACAATACTCTAAATATAAATCAGTTCAAAACTAGAAATTATTACAAGAATCTTTTATTAACAGACAATACGGATTAA